ACTAGCTACTCAGGAGGCTGATATCTGAGGATCACCGTTCAAAGCCAGCCCAGGAAGGAAAGGCGGTGAGACTCTTATCTCCAATAAACCACCAGAAAACCAGAAGTGGCGCTTGGCTCAAGTGATTGAGCGCTCACCTTGAGCTGAAGAGTGCAGGGACAGCACCCAGGCCCAGAGTTCAAGCCACATGACCAACCAAAAAAAAAAAAATAGTGTAAACCATGCACTCATAATTCCATGCAGTAATGTACAATGTAGCCTATTCTTAAAAAGAAAAACATTTTCCTTGATGCTTCCTCGAAGGTGTTTTTCACAGATGTTTCTCAAAATGAAAAACCTACTCACATCTTGTGGTGTTGGATTTTGTTTGTAAGTTTGTTGGTTTGGAGAGGCAGCCATGTAACATTATTATTATCATTATTATTGTATTATTATTTTATTTCAGATGGCTTCACTTCCTACAAGGCCCAGATATTAAAAGATGAACTTTTAAAGAAGAAGCAAAATCTCTTACAAAGAAAGAAACAAGAACCTAGAGATCAGGTTCTGCCCACAGACGCTCTGCCTGCCCAGTCAGTGAGGACAAAGAAGCCAAAAATATTTGGGCCTTCTAGTAAATATAAAAAATGGAGCGAAAGGAACAATATTGAATTTTTTATATACTTGATGAAATTTTATTACTTTTAATTTTTCACTCCTTCAGAATATGAATCCATTCCTCCCCCAATACTACCACCACTTGTCTGCACTTCCCATTTAATTTTTATCCCAGTGGGAGTAAAGAAGAAAAATCAAGCCATTATATGATTTAATTAAATAGATATTGACTTTTATTTGCTTTTCAAATTTTTGTCTGTTAACTCTTACAATATGTGATTGTCTCTGAGGAGTTAAATCAGAGATGGCATTAGTTTTCTTCTTTATTCTTTTCATGTATTTAAAAATATTTTACAATGGACATTTACTAATAGTTTAATCAGAAAAATGTTTTGCCTACATGTCACAAAATATGCTAAAAGTCTGATGTCTGATAAAATATCTGTAAAATATGTTAAAAGTCTGAGACTGATATCAGACTCAGCAGATGGTTTTAGGTGAGAGAAAATGGTTTCCTAAAGGCTCAGGAATATAAATAATAAATCCAGATAATGTCTATTAAATTGAATCTAGAATTTGGATTCTTTTTCAGAATTTTTTTCCAAATGTGAATGATAATTGTTTTGTGGCAACAGAGCTTTATTGGCATCCATATTGAATTAACCTCAAATTACGATGTTGCATTTAAATCTAAACATGAAGCCATTTACAACTCAGAGGAGAAGACCCTAATTCTGTTCTCTTATCAACGGTTGCTTTTCCTTGGTTTTGAGATACCTGGCACAAAATGAAATAGAGATGGCCCAATCGTTAGGATTTGACCAACACAGAGATGTAGATGATTCAGTGCAATGGTCCCCCTAGCTAGCACCTGTTTCTCTACTGCCCAACATAATGAAAACAAATGTGGGGCACTAAGGGAATCTGGCATATGTAAACACATCTCTGGTGAATTGCAACTCCATTTTCCTTTCTCAAAAGCTGGATTTTGTGACTTTAGAGTAACTATGAGCTAACATCATCTACCTTTATATTAAAGTCAAACCCTTAATTGTCAAGAGTCTTATCTTTTCAGTGTCCTTACCTCTGTGCATTAAAACTGGGAAATAAAATCAAAGCCTGCTTTTACTTCTAAATTCACAAGAATAGTTTCTGGAAAATAGAGAAGTCACAAATAATAATATTCTGAAATTCTGCTCTCTACAGATAAGTCACAAAACAAACAGCTAGTATTTATTTGAATGCCACCTGATAATAGGAAAGGGACTTTCCTATTTGATTTTAATAGAAACAGTTACTTCATCCATGTGTGAACCATTCCAAGAAAATATATTTGAAGCAAGCAACAGCACATATGCCCTGGAAGGGCAGCTGTATTTAGATACCACATGTCATTTTCAAGGATGGAAAAGCATTATTTTTTTTGGAAAGTCTCCTTAGGTAAACAAAAGATAAATATGTTTTGCTTTTTTCCTCTCAGGTATATGCACAGTTTTTTTAAAACCTTACCTTTTCTATTAATTAAATGTTTAACTTCCTTTTCTATTATATTATCACATCCTTGAAGACTCAATCTTCTTTATTTGATTAAGAACATAGATGAAAGTAAAGAATTAAAACTAAAGAAGCATCCATAGAGCATGTTATAGAACACTACTTTAAAAGATCAAACCTAAAAATCACGAGCATAGAAGGAGAAAAGTTTAAGCTAAAGGCATAGAAAATATATTAGTAATATAATAGCAGAAACCTTCCAAAACCTTGAGAAAGAGGTGGCTATCAGTCATAGGAGGCTTCATGCACTCAAAATAGACAAGACTTGTAAAGAACCCTCATTATATCATATTACAGTTAAATATTAAAGATACAGAAAAAGGAAAGTACATTTTATTCACATAGGGCAAAACCACAAAGAAATCCCTTTATGCAATTAATATATACTAGTGAAAAAATAGAAAAAGGCCATTTTCCAGAAGAAAGTAAGTGCTTAAATGTGAGTACAATAGTAGCAAAATACAATTCTGATACATATTGTAAATTTATAGTGCTGGCTAATATATCACATGAAAATGTTTTCTATGTAAAATAGATAGTATTGGAATGGCAATATGTGTCATGTTGTATCTTGTTGCAACAATAAGATTTCAAATGTCCTGAATTTCTCCAGGATATTTTATTTGAGGGGTCACATGGAGGGGCAGGGAGGCCAAACAATGTGGAGGTTGCACTCCAGCTTGGTCATTAAAATTTAACTATACAATTTAGCTTATCTGAATCTCTGTTTATTTAACTTTCAAAAAGAGAATTATAAATATTTATAATCTTGTTAACCATATTCAAGTTCACTGGGCACTGAAGGTTCACATCTGTAATACTAGCTACTCAGGAGGCTGAGATCTGAAGATTATGGTTAGAAGCCAGCCCACACAGGGAAGTCCATGAAACTCGTATCTCTGATTAATTGCCAAAAAGACAGAAGCAGAGCTGTGGCTCAAGTCATAAAGTGTTATCCTTGAGCATAAAAAGCTCAGGGATAGCACTCAGGCCCTGAGTTCAAGTCCCAGGACCGGCACACACAGAATAAAAAGGAATGTATAATTAATGAATAGTACTCTACACACAGTAGGCATAAGTTTTATCTTTCTTTTGCCCTTTTAATGAACTGACTATAAGGACAAAATGTTTACATTTTAATATTTTTGAAAGTAGAACCATTTCTAAACTAAATTCCATTTCCTTTTTTCTTTCTAAATCGGATGGGTAATTCACATTTTTGTTAATGGACTCAGAATCAGAATTTCTGGCAAACTCAATGCCATGATGACTTCAGACCCTAATTAAATGTTTTAAAAATATTTTGTTCCTATACTAAATTACCCTGAATTGCTTTTATTTTTAAACTTACATGTTTACTTTCCTCCAGCATTTTTATGTAAATATTTTCAATTTGATGCATTTTTTTTTGCAGGGTACCTGTTGAAGTCCATCTACTGTACTCTAATGTGTTGCATTATTTTACACAGAGTAGCAATAACATTTTAGATTTACATGTCAAAGACAGTATGATAGATCTGAAACTATACTTTGACCAAATTAATTATTGACGTAAGTAAAGAATTCAGCAGTTCATTTGGACTTCTAAGAGACTTCCATTCCTCATGCTTTCTTTTCTAAGTTCTGGCTGCACTTTCAATACTTGCCTCTGTCAGATGTGTGACAGTCTGTCTGCTGCTTCTCCAAGTTGATAGCCAATCTGTCATCTGCATGCCCTTTACAGTCCTTCCACCCTCCATACTCCCCATTTCCAGACTGCCACCTTCCCTATTTTTGTATTTCAAAATCTAAATCTAGCAAGCCAAGTTATCACTCTGGGTACCATTTATTTTTATTGCTTTCTTATCAGCTGTCAAAACAGCTGAATGTTAAACAATTGGCTGGTTTCCAAAAACAGCATTAGGAATGTGAGAAGGAGAGGCGATTAGAGTAGCTCTCTGAAGAATCATTTTGGACCCAGAAAGCCATTGCCTTCAGAATAGCCTTTATTAAAAACAAACTATTCATCTTAATTTCAGTTTTTCTCCCATATGAATCATGGAGTTATTAATATACTTGCCATTGCATTTATCAGGAAGATAAGAATCCACTTTCATCATACAGCAGTATAAGAAAAGGTTCATCAGTCTAAGTAAAAATTTACTCCTATCAAAAGTGTGCCTCTGGAGGTTTTGTCGCAAAAGCTAGGACTCAGCAATACTATAGAACCAATATTAGTTGGTTCCATTCTGACCTTGAGGTAGGTGAATAATTTATGCTTCATTGACCTTTTCCAGCTTCAAGACTGTTTAAGCCACAAAGCAATTAGCTAGACCTATCTTCTTTCCTGTATTCAGGGGCTCCCAGAATATTCCAACAGTCTTAAATCAATCTTTTAACATTTCATATCCATGAAGTCAGGTAAAAATGTCCCTTTTGTTCAATATTTTACCTGTTTGTTTTCGGAAATGTAAACATTTTATTTTTAAACACAATCATCTGGGCATTTGTATTTAAAAATTATCTAATAATGAGTACAATTTCTTTCCATATCAATTCCCCCAGGCCTCGTCTTTGAAGGGAATTTTTGTTAGCAATTTCTTGCATCTATTTCTGGAAATATTGTCTACTCACCACAAGCATGTACATATTTTAGCAATCTTAAAGTACAGATCCTATGCTACTTCTCTAGGGGAGGTGATGGTGTCATAAAACAAATGGAGAAATATTATTTGCTTTTCTATTTTAAGACAGACTTTGGGCAAGACAATGCTAATTCTGTTTTATTATTATTATTATTATTTATTGTGAAAATACTGTACAGAGGGGTTACAATTACATGGGCAAGGTAATGAGTACATTTCTTATAAAAAAATATGGAACGCTTCAAGAGCTTGCATGTTATCCTTGTGCAGGGGCCATGTTAATCTTTTCTGTATTGTTCCAATTTTAGTATATGTGCTACCAAAGCTAACACTTCTGTTTTTAATCTTTATAGTTCACATTTATACTCTGTGCTTTTCATGTATTGTTCTTTTCTTAAAGTCTTGAGATGGATAATTTTCAGCCTTTCCTAGAGTCTAATATATACAGATATATATTAGACTAATATATATATATATATATATATATATATATGGTTAAAATTAGCCCTTTATACATTAACTCATTGCCATCTACACATTTTGGTGATTTGTATTTTATATTAATAGTTCAAAACTTTGGACAATATAATTTCTGGCTTACTTCACTTACTATAATTTTTTCCAAGTCTTTCCATTTCCTAACAAATGATGCAATGTCATTCTTTCTGATGGAGGCATAGAAGTCACACACACACACACACACACACACACACACACACACACATATATCACATTTTCTTGATCCATTCATCTACTGAGGATTATCTAGGTTTGTTCCATATCTTAGCTATGGTAAATAAGGCTGCGACAAACATAGTTGTGCTGGTAGCCTTAGTATGGCTTTGCTTGTGATCATTTGGGTAAATGCCCTAAAGTGGGATTGCTGGGTCATAGGGGAGCTCTATGTGGAGTCTTTTGAGGAACCTCCATACTGCTTTCCAAAGTGGTTGAACAAGTTTACATTCCCACAAACAAGGCAATAGGGTTTTCTTTTTTGACACATCCCCTCCAGCATCTGTTGTTTTTAGATTTCTTGATTATAGTCACTCTAACTGGGGTGAGGTGGAATCTCAATGTTGTTTTGATTTGCGTTTCTTTTATGGTTAGAGAGGTTGAGTATTTCTTGATGTGTTTATTGGCCATTCTTACTTCCTCTTCAGAGAAGTTTCTCTTCAAGACTTTAGCCCACTTATTTATTGGGCAGTTGTTTCTTTGAAGATTTTTTTCTTGGAGGATTTAGTTTTTTGAGTTCCAAGTATATTTTAGATATGAGACCCTTGTCTGTTGTATGGCTAGTGAAGATCTTCAACCAATCCATGGCTTTCTATTGATCTTGCTAGCTAAGTCCATTGCCATGCAGAAGTTCTGCAATTTCATGCAATCCCATTTGTCCAACCTTTCTTTGATTTGTTGTGTTTCTGGGTCTCTATTAAGAAAATTTCGACCTGTGCCAAGGAGACCTAAGGTTTCTCCTATTCCTTCCTGCAGTGGTTTCAGGGTGTCTCCTTTGACTCCGAGGTTTTTGGTCCATTTGGAGTTGATTCTGGTGCAGGGTGATATATAAGGATCTAGCTTTAGTTTTCTGCAGGTGATTAACCAATTCTGCCAGCACCATTTACTGAAGAGGCTGTCTTTCTTCCATTCTATTTTTTTAGCTCCCTTATAGAAGATAAGGTGGCTATAGGTCTGTGGTTCCATTTCTAGGTTTTCGGTTTTATTCCATTGGAATAGAAGTCTGTTCTTGTGCTAGTACCAAGCTGTTTTGATTACTATGGTTTTGTAGTAGAGTTTGAAAATTGGTATTGATATTCCACCTGTTCTTCCTGTTAAGGGATTTTTTTTAATTTGGTGTCTTTTATTGTTCCATATGAATTTTTGCATTGCATCTTCTATTTCCTTGAAGAATGAGGTTGGAATATTGATAGGTATCACACTGTATTAAGATTTAATAATAGTAATGTTATACTCTAGAAAATAAAAGGATTATAAATTTATTTAATTAGTTTAGTTCAAACTATCCATCATCTTATGTTATTAGCACATGCAATTTAATTCTATGTATTAAACCATGGAAAATACGTTTACTACTGTACCTTATAGCCAATATTTACTTTATTTCTTTTTTATTTGACTTGTATAGCTTTGATTATGTTTGGGACACACACATACCCCACACACACACCCCGCACCCCCCTCCCACACCAGTTCTGGGGCTTGAACTTAGAGCTTGAGCATTGTCCTTGAGCTTTTTTTGCTAAAGGCTAGCCCTCTACTACTTAGTCCATGGCTCCACTTCCAATTTGTTTTATGTTTTAAGAAGACACATTCACATATTCTTCAGTATGGAATTGATTATGAAAACTCTGAGTTCTTGCTTGTTTGCATATGTCTTTGCATGTCTTTCACTTTTTAAAAATGTCTATTTGGATACAAAATTCTTGAATGTTAGATATCATCCTTTTCTCTTCTGAAGCTACCCTATCATCTTCTGGCTTCATTATTTCTTTTAAGATCCTTGTTTTTCTTGTCATTCTTGTTTTGCAGATAATATGTTTAACTGTTTTCTTCTTGTAGGTTCTGCTTTTTCTTCTGAGAGTAAAACCTAGGACGGTCCCACATTCTGGGCAAGCTTTCTTCCACTGAAACATCTGCAGTCCTCCTAATTTCTTTTAAAGGTTCTATATTGTGGTGTGTGTTTTTTTAACTTTATAGTAGTGTTCCTAGGATATACATCATATGTATTCTTTGGTTATTTCCCCAGGATAAGCTCTAACATAATTAAATCATATTATCAAGACCAGAAAAATCATTGTGACCATACTACTAACTCAGTTTCACATCTCACACTTATTAACATTCTCCATTCCTGTGTGGCATAATTCTCCACTTTGGGATATTGTCCTGAACATTGTTTTGCTTTTTTCCTAACCAGAAACTATTACCAGAGGTAACCTATCCCATGAGTTGTGACAATCAGATATATCACCAGATATGATCATATATCCCCTGTGGCATGAAATTATCTGGGGTTGAGCACCACTATGGTAACTCAATTCCCCAACTTAATTGGATTGTAGACATTCTCACATGTACTTTTTTTGGAGGGTAGAATGGCGAGTGGTAGGGCCTTAGATTTGCTAGGCAGACACTCTACCCCTTAATGATCCTAGCCCTTTTGTTTTTAATTATTTTTCAGATATGGTTTTATGCTTTTGCCTGGGGGATAGACTTGAGCCACAATCCTGCTGCTGCTTCCTGAAGAGCTGAGATAAAAGCTAAAATTGTGTCTTAATAACTTTTGCCTGGAGAAGCCCATGATCTTCCGCTCTTCACTCCTCTAAGTTATAGGTAAAAGATATCTCATCTAGCCCTTTACATGTATGTTTTTGTGTACCAGTCTTGGGGCTTGAACTCAGTGCCTAAGCTCTGTCTCTAAGCTTCTTTTGCTCAAGGCTAGTGCTCTTCCACTTGAGCTACAGTTGTACTTCTGGCTTTTTGGGTAGTTTAAGGGAGGCAAGAGACTCACAGACTTTCCTGCCTAGGTTGGCTTTGAACAGGTTTCAGCCTCCCAATTAGCTAGGACGATAGGTGTGAGCCACCAGTGCCTGGATCACATGTAGGTATTAATGGTTTCTTTCTCACTAGCTCTCAGAATTAAATAACTCTCACTATCATTGGTACACAAAACTCTTCGAGCATCATGAAGAAACTCCTTGTACTTGCAGCTTCCTTGTTATATCCTCCCAGCCTCTTGGCTACCACTGGTCCTTCTCCATCTCTACAATTTTGTCATTTAGACAATGTCTCTTAGATGTAACTATTTGAGATTGGATTTTAGTTTCACTTAGAATAAGACTGATGAGAACAAACCAAATTGTCACTTGTATTAAATAGTATTCATAACCTGCTTTATTGACTGCCAACCTCTTTGTACAACTACTTAAATAAAAATGTATTTTTAAAAATGATTAAAGGGGGGCTGGGAAGGTGGCTCGGTGGTAGAGTGCCTGCCTTGCATGCATGAGGCCCTGGGTTGGATTCCTCAGCACCACATAAGCAGAAAAAGCCGCAAGTGGCTCTGTGGTTCAAGTGGTAGAGTGCTAGCCTTGAGCTGAAGAGCTGAGGGACAGTGCCCAGGCCCAGAGTTCAGGCCCCACGACTGACAAAAAAATGATTAAAGGAAATATTTGAGCGTGAAGGCATAGATGGCATCATAAAGGTGAATAAAACTGTACAGGGAAACTATAGATAGAAAAGATAGGGAATTTAGGACTTAGTTTGGAAAGGACCAACAATCAGTTCAAGCAGACATTGTGAGTTAGCAAGTGTGTCTTAAGAAGGAAAGTTGTAGAGATAATGCACTACAGGAACCAAGAGTGGAACTTGCAGAAAGGAGAGAGTGATAGCTAATATCAATTGCTCATTATATTTGTCTGTATATATTTGAGGGCTATTATTGGATATGAAGAACAAGACAGAAGCTTGAGTTCTACAGCAGAGTCATCATATTTTGGAAAGAAGCAGAAGTTAAAGATTCCATGAGAACTAGATTGTCATTACCAATTGTATGAAGAGACTTTAAATCTTCCAATTACTTCCAAAATACTGAATTTAAGAAATCACAAAAAAATGGAGATGAAGGTGAATTCAAAGCCAGGCACCAGAAAGATTAAAGCTCCATTTGTAGCCAGGGACTTCTCTTTTTCTCTATTTTCCATATCACATGCCTCGTTTCCTACAAATCTATGATCTCTTTCATTTAGAGGGTGAAAGTTGAAATAGCTATTTGCTGGTTTGAAAAATCAATGGTTTGTCTGTCAAGATGATTTAAACCGAGTCTCTGATCATCATTTTTATCTGACATGGACAGATGATGTATGACTTATACAGCTAGATCTCAGGACACTTGGAACAACTTCGCAGAACATCACTGTAGCTGTTCTGTTCCTTCATAAATTAGAAGCAGAAGCTTTACATGAGAAATCAACGTTTCCCATAAATGTTCTCAGTATAGACACTAATAGAATAGTCCTGTAAACTTTTTCCCTTTGGCCTAAAACATTGAAATAAGATGTTAAATTAGAAAAAAAATCACGTAAGAGGCCTTATTAAGGATAGTATAAAACATAAATCTAGGTCCCAAGGGGTCTGAGCTAAATATGTTGTTTAAAGAAGTCAATATATGAAAAATGTATAAAGTAAGTCTTAGTGCATCTGCTTAAATAATTTAAGACAGCATTTTCTTATAAATTTTCTAGTGATTATGCTGGTTCCAAAAAGCACCTCTAGGGACCATTTATTGGAAGAAAAGAGATCACATGTCATTATTGAA